AGCAGCAGAACGTTGGTGAACTCGGCAGTCTGGGGGCGTGACGTCCTCGTAGAAGGTAATAGTGTCGGTGCCTCTGACACTCACACCACCACTACCTTGAGGTAGCTTTCATTTTTCGCTTTGTCATTTTTGAACCACTGTGTCGGCTCAGCTATGCTCCAAAGCACCGTGTCTGATATAGATGGGCCCTTGAATGGTGCTAGCACGGACTTTCCGGGTTGCTCAGCGGGCTTCTAGGTTCCTCCCTCCAACTTTCATTGGCCTTTTGCCCCTCAGCACTTGCGCCACCCTTCACGCCATCCAGAACTGTTTCATCGTCGGTGTCCCCGCACGCAATCTCCTCGCACGCGCCGTATCAGCTGATGTTTTTGCCTTCTGCGTAATACTTGACGTTCTCTGCATGATCGTTGGCTTCCCCATTCGCGCCTCCGGCTACTGCATCAAAGCCCCGTCAGTACCGTTGCTCTCCACTGTTACGAATTCGGGTTTCATGCGATGGTAGCGGTAGCCGAGAGCAGCGAGCAGTCGAACGGACTTCGCTGAAGCCTTCTCCCGTGTGCGAAATAGGAAGGCGAACGTTTTGAAAACAGCAACATTTTTTTCAAGAGGTTGCAGCTTGTACAGTGCGGGCCAGCCTGACGACGTCGACTGGGGCAAAAATGCTCAAACATCGGGCCGGCCCGGTCATAAATAACGTTTTTGGTTTCTTCTCCGACACCATTTCCGAGTACTTAGAGGAGGAGGCAAAGCCTTGCCGGAAATTGCACGTGGCTCACCGCCGTCTGCGAGGAAGGTTGCGCTGGGATGAAGGGGGAGAGTTCGCCGGAACTCCACTCGTTTTCGTGGGAAGAAGCACTCCCGAACGAGGACCATGCCTCTTGCATAACGGCGCCCCTGCCACCAGACAATGCGCCCGGAGTTTTGAGCCACCTAGCGTGGCTTAGAAGAAGGGATGCTGGTTCACCGTTGAGAACTGTAGCCGTTCCGCTCTCTCCACCCACGGTCACTTTCACTACCCTGTAGAGGTTCACTGGAACAACAGAGTCAAGCACAAAGCCAAACCACTCTGGCCCAAGCAGGTTCCCTCCAAATGCTGATCAAATCGCCCGACCAGCAGAAACGAAACTATTTGCTCGCGATTAAGCTGAGCTAAAGAATAGCATCACGAGCAACGTATCTGAGGAGAAATACACAATGCGTACATACCTTTGGCTAAGTGTCAGTGCATGACACTGCTAAACCACGTACACAATGAATTGATACTGCTAAACCAAACAGAATTTTTTTGAGTAATTCTCAATTGTGACTCAGGCAGATTGTCGACGATCGAAGCTGCTGAGGTTAACTCAATTTGTCCCCGAAACTACAATTTAGAATACTAAATACTTCTCAATCACGCACATTGGGGTCACTTGCAAGCATCAGACCGTTCAACATATTAAAGTTAGTCCTCCGAAAAGCTCTCGTTCAATGCGCGCAGGCAATGATTATCGCAAAACAGGAAAGTACAAAGGAGGAAAGTAATACTTAAACTTAAAGTTGCACACGTTACCCAAAAAGTGAAACGTTAACCTAAACTGACGCGCATACTAGCACATAATCCAAACATAAGAGCTAATTTAAACAGGGGTTTTTACTCAGCCTTCTCTGTTTAAAAAAGGACACGCTATTTGTTACCTTTCGAAATATATGGAAGCAAAATTAATCAGACTAGCATGTCAATATCTGCATCTCCGACGACAAGGTAAGTAAAACTTTAAAAAATTCAGACGCATTCCTTCCTCATCAGCAGTCGACAAAGGCCCCGCAGTGGTGGTCTAGTGCCTAAGGTACTCGGCTGCTGACCCGCAGGTCGCGGGATCGAATCCCGGCTGCGGCGGCTGCATTTCTGATGGAAGCGGCAATGTAGTTGGCCCGTGTGCTCAGATTTAGGTGCACGTTAAAGAACCCCAGGTGGTAGAAATTTTTTTCGAAGCCCTCCACTACGGCGTCTCTCATATTCATATGGTGGTTTTGGGACGTTAAACACCACATATCAATCATGTTGTCCCTACGCATGGGCTGAAAAGTAGAAGACGATATCGTAGTGGCGAAATTTCAATGAAATTTTTGTACAGAAAATGTTGCACAATGAATAAGTCGCAACACGTATTACAGGTTTGTTGTTAGAAAAGTACCAAAAGCTTCAGCTCTTCCAATCATTGATAGGTGACAGGGAACATATCTCTTGGCTAGACATTTATGTTTAGGGATGCGCTCCCCCCAGCAATGCACACTGAATCTATGCACATCTAACGGTACAACGAGGCACGATGGTGGAATGTTTTCCAGTTCCTTTCTGCATAATGACTTGGCGTACGACTTCACGAACCAAACCGTAATCCTAAACACTTCGAGGCGTTCAAACGAGCTCCTGACAGTATGAGAAAATTTTATTTTGCAGATGAGCATTTTCAACTATTGGCTCTGTGCAAAATAGTGGTACATTGCCTGCATAAGCAAATACTTTATTTAAATTTATAGTGTATCGAAGCCACGGATACTACTGGATCGTAAGATACTTATGCAAAATTCTACTTAAAGGCTTTACTAAAAGGCTCTACGTAAAGGGCAAACAAAAGTGGCAACACGGGGCAACTCTGCTACCAAGGAGCAACTAGAAACAGGTTTGGATAGCTGACCATTGACAATAGAACGGGTCAAAAATTTGTTACTACAAATTTTTCCGTCCTTAAGCACAGCAGTGCCAATATTGGCATGCTCCGGAAGAGAGAGAAAAGAAACGATTTAATAACACAATCAAGGGTTTTTACAAGTTCTGCATGTAACATTGCAAGGGGCTTTTGATGTTCGTAAAAGTACCGATGGACAGTACGAGCAACATGCATATTGTTTTGTATAGATCGGCCTTCAAATTGTTTGAGAAGATCAAGTGAGAAGAGATACCGCAAATTGCAACCTATTTGATTAAACTTTAGCAGAACTTTTGTAGTCAATGTTTGACAGTGATATCGGCCTGTGACCTTCGAAAGAGGAAATTAAAATTGTTCTTGTCAGAATTTTGCGGCATCAAATCTGTGTGTCTCTTGCAAAATGATCTCAGCAGTGTCTCCATTTCATGATTTATATTGAAGATATCCCGCAAGCTATTGAGCGCGCAATTGACAGCTTACCTTCATCGAAGGCACGTGGTCCTAACGGCATTTCTGCTGAATTTCAAAAAACTTTCGAAAATGCTCACCAACCTATTGAGGCTATTATTTAACTCAGTGCAAACGTGCCTTAGATCTTTCACCAATTATTTTTTGCTCCATGCTGTCTGTTGTTGAAGCGAGAGGGTGCCGCCATCTCTGAGTGCTCAAGATGAGTAATGCGGCAGGACGAGTTTGAAGCATGGCGTCGCAATTGGCGCACAAGCATGCAGGCTTGGGGGTCATGGCTCAAGGTTCTCGATAGCATTGAAAAACCCTGACCGAGCGAGCATCGAAGAAGCGCCGACTTAGCTATGTCCTAAGTATTTCGCTTTATGTTTGCGCACGACAGCTCGTTGTTGAAGTCCTGCAGCTTCCACATGCACCAACATGACTCGCCGCTGGCTACATCGAATGTGACAGCACCGGCTCGTTTAATGACACTTCCTTAGTATCCATGGCAGCACGGCAACGATGTCAATCGGCGAATGTTGTGCCTTGGTGGAGTGAGGCTGAGGCAAGCAGGAGGTCGAACGCCTCCACGTGTTCGCGGCTCAAGCTGCGAACCTCTGCGTCTCGCACTGCTGAAGTACAGTATGCGTGAGCTCTGGCGCTCGCTTAAGGAGCACACTGTGCTGTTGCTCTCCATACCTGACGATCTTTGAAGACGCGCATATCGAGTAGATGTGTTTAGTGCATGTTTGTTTATGTTATACTTGTGCATGATTTACTATACGTTCCAGTCAGGTATCTATTAAAAACATAGTTACCACAACGGTTAAATCAATCATGGGTGGTAGATGTCGTGATGGAGACGAGCCAATAGGCGTCAACTTGACTGTATCCACGTCAAACGATGCTATAGCTGTGGAAAGTCAACATAAATTGTACAAGCTCTCATATATCACTACGCAATAAGCACTACTTTTACGAAGACACGCTTCACTTTCGTGGTTTAACAATTACTATGACGGAAGTATCATCCATGTTTTCAATTATTTAATCATTTATTTATTTATATGTTTATGTATTTACTTATTTATATTGTACTGTGAAGCGGTGCCTTCTAACAGTTCCCTTTTTTTCCTGCTGGAGGTAGGAAAGTCATCAACCTTTTTAGCAGCGCGAAAAATAGATTGCTACAGGCAACAAAGACGTTCATGAGCTCATACCGAGGCAACAATGAAATACCGCGACGTGAACTGGTAGTGCACCCGTTAGTGTGAATTGATGATCAAAGATCAGTTCGGCCTTGCTGTTCATCAAAAAGTACAGGATAGCGGGAACATAACTATTAGAAAATAACGCTCACAAAAGCAGATTTGGCTGACCTATACCTTCGAGAGCCTTCGGTACAGTTTTATTTATGTGCATTCGTGGACGCTTCTTGAGCTAAGGCCCCTCTTACAACGCCTACAACAACTGTGATGTAATACATGATTGGCTTTGATAAACCCAGCGTGTTCGGTCATATGTTGGGCGTTTCGAGATGAGCAGGGCAATGTTATTTTTGTTATTTCTTGTTTTCTGAAACACAGTAGTTCCGTATTTTTATTCAACTACTCTTTCTACATCGAACTTCCTTGTAGGAAAATTCAGAGATGTGTATGTTCAATTATGGTGGCTAGAAGGGGAGGTGGGAGCATCGCGCGATGCGGAGGTTGGCAGAGAGGGTGTCAGTTGTTCATGCTGATGAGCGGTGGCGCGCGTGTCGTTTTTTAGATGCCCCTCCGGGCCGAAGCGGAGCACGTGCGTTTCCGCGGCTTGCGTTCGTATTGTTCGCACGATGCTCGAAGTTTTGAAGCCTCTTCACACCGCATATCGTGATGGCTAAACCAGTGAAGCGCCAGACTCACTGCTTCGCGCCCGGATGCTCTACCGGGTACGTTTCAGCCCGAAAGGCAGGTGTAAAAAGGTCTGTTTTCACCGTACCGAACGATGAGGACCAGCTGAAAGCATGGCAGCGTTACGTTCTACGTGGTGACAAACTGCTCGACCGAACTGCAGTCCTGTGCGAGTTACACTTCGAGCAACGGTTTATTGTGAGAGATTACACCCATATCGTGAATGGTGAAGTTGTGAAGATTCCTCGCGGCCGCCCATGCCTTACCGATGATGCAATACCGTCGATCTTCCCAAACACGCCGAGTTATCTCTCTAAAAAGCTTCGTCAGAAGCGCAGCTCCCGGACATCGAGAGGAGAAGTGCTCAGCAAAAAAAGAAAAGTGAACGATGAAAACGAACTTCCTTCGATGGAGCACGATTCTTCCTTAGATGTGACAACGAACGGTGAACGTGTTCCCGGCGCGTCGTGTACAGTGGAAAAACTGGAGCATATGAAAGGTGAGAAGCTTCCAAGCAACTACTGGTCGATGTGCCTACTTGCGGATGCCCCGAACGCTGTTGCGTTTACTGTTTGCGCTCAAGATGGTGATAGTGTGTACTTCAAGAAACTGGTGTTGGGCTCTGCTGAGGATACTTGCTATCGTTGTGTAGTGTTTGTGCAAAGGAAAGTTGTAAAAAAAGTGGATGTGTTTGATGTGAATGCTGTGGAAAGCCTCCTCCACTCCATCAACGAGATGGTTGTGTGCTCCGGTTTTGAGCAAGGTTCTATTCCACTTGAGCGGCTTGACAGTTCCAATCAATCAAAATACAGAACGCATGGAAACAAGTCGTACAGCAAAAGTTGCTCAGGCATGTCTCAAAATCAAAGGCCTTGTATACACTGCAGGTATCTAAAGAAACTGCTTTTGAACCAAGCATCCTATAAGAAGAGAAAAGCTAGAGTGGCTACTCGTTACCGTGCTTCGAAGAAACTAATTATGCGGGGAAGACAGTTGAGGCGAGAAAAGGCAAAAGTCAGTGAACTAAAGCAAATGCTTGCGAAAATGAAGCAAAGTAATTCTGCCCTCTCTGAATCAAACCTTCAGGAGAGTCTGTCTAAGCTGCCTGAGAAACAGCGGCAGCAGGTACAAACATGCTTTGAAGCAGCGAAAAGGAAAGAAACACAGGGGATGAAGTACAGCGATGAATGGCTTCTGGACTGCATTACAATGCGCATGAAAAGCCCAAAGCTGTATGAGCATATTCGAAAGCATAAAATAATGGTCTTGCCCAGCAAGAGTTGTTTGCACAAGTACGTGAGAAATTATAAGAGCAGCTTTGAGCTCAATGATAATGTTTTTGCTGCCATCGAAGAAAAAACCAAAAGTGTAGACGAGTTTCACAGGCACGGAGGTCTCTTCATTGACGAGCTGAAGCTCTCGGAGAGCCTCAAAGGGACAAGCAGTGGACTCATCGAAGGTTTCGTTGACTTGGGCAAATACACTTCTCTAGATCACAGCACACAAACGTGTGGTCACGGTCTAGTAGTATTGTACCAGCCATTTTCAGGCAACTTTCAGCAAATCTTAGGGGTTTTCGGCTCCCATGGAAATGTAAAGGCCGATGTGCTTGCAAAAATCATTGTCGATGCAACACTAACTGCCGAGAAGCCTGGGCTTTTTGTGGATTTTGTGACCACAGATGGTGCATCCTGGAACAGGAGTATGTGGCAACAATTTGGCATCAAGGGTTCTTCAAAGTCAGTTGTTTGCAAAGTGAAGCACCCTGCAGATCACAGCAGAAGTCTGCACTTCTTATAAGATTTTCCGCATCTTGTGAATTGCGCCCGCAACAGCAGTGTGTCGACGGGTCTCCAGGTGCCCGAAAGAAGGGTCAGGATAGATGTTGTGAAAGAGGCATGGAAGTGTGACAATAGGGACATTGTGTGGCCTAAAGCAATGCCTCGTGTCTCAAGAGTCGTCATCGATCCGAACGGATTTGAAAAAATGAAAGTGAACTATGCCTTCACTTTTTTCAGTGATGAGATGGTCAGGGGTTTGTATGCATATAAGGAAGAGATCGAGAGAGTATGGGGCGTTGACTCTAGTGATGCAACAGTGTCATTTATCAGAAGAATGGCTAGGCTGATTGCAGCCATGACTTCCCGCTGCAGCCGCGGTGCCATGCGTCCCAACTCGCCAGTCCTGGCTGAAGTGAAGGAATTTATTGCATATCTAGATGCGTGGCAAGGAAACGTTGGAAAGCTGGGCTTCTTCAGCCAGGGTACTGCAGAAGGGCTTCGCGTTACCCTGAAAAGCACCATGTTGATTTTCGAATATCTCACAAAAGAGCTTGGTTACAAGTACTTGCTGACATTAAGAGTAAGCCAGGATCCTCTGGAGAATGTGTTCGGAATTTTGCGGCAAATGTCGGGAAGCAACGACTACCCGACGCCAACCCAGTTTCTGCTTTCGGCAAATTGTCTGTCGTTCTGCAGTTTGGCGAAGGCAACTGCTAACGGAAATGTGTCACCATCAGTGCTGAAGAGCCTCACCCATGGCAGCCACAAAGACCGGAGAGAGTTCCAGATGAAGCTTGACGAGCTCATGGACATAGGGTGTCTCAATGAAGTACATGAACTCCTTGAATCGTCTGGCATCCCAACAGATCACTGCGCAATGGTTTCGGTAAAAAGCGACTCCCGAGATATGCATTTCGTTGCTGGATATGTCGCCCGAAGGATGCTGAGGCAAACTAAGTGCCCTGAATGTGCAAAAGCCCTTATCCGACCACGCGATTCTGATATGCCCGCAGATGCCTGCCTAATCAGAGAAGTAGACTGGGGTGGGCTGCTCTACCCATCTGATGAACTGCAAGCTTTTATCGAAAACATGGAAGACTCATTCGCGCGCGGCTTTAGCTACAGCAAGCTTAAAGCAAATAGCATAATGGACTTCATTTCTGCGTTGACAAGAAACCGGCTAACTCATCTTGGCTGCGAAAAACATTCCAGAGATGTTACTAACAAGCTCGTCAAGTTTTATACAATGACAAGGCTGCACTTCATTGTAAAAGCGGAAAACAAGGCACGGGAGGGCAAGCGACGGCAGCGAATGCACTATTTGAAGCTTCGCCGCTTAACGTGAATATGTGTGGAGTTGCGCTTTCATGTGATTGTAATTTAGAGCTGTTTGCTGTATGAGATTGGCGATGTACAAAAATAAAGATGCAGGCTGTAATTCCCTGAACGTTGCGCATGTATACAATTTTTATTTAAATCTCCTTGATTGAATATACGTCACTCGGTGTGTAGAAAATTCACCAGACACGAAACTCATCGAAAAAGTGAACAGCTGCGAAAACTACAATATAATAAAATTGTTAAAAGTTACGCATTGAAATGTAAATGAAGGTACCGAGCGTTGCGATTGTGAGCATATGATTGTTTTACACCGACGTTTCAAATGATATTCGAACTTATACGCACGGTCTTATCGTGGAGTACGCCGCCTTGCCTTTTGGGTGCTACCGCGTATGTTTGCATGCCATTAGAGGTAGTTCGTTGCCTTAATCTCGGTATACATTCCGTGCTTAAATTTTCGTTTAAAACACCCCATTGCTAGTGCACACAGCTGCATTCCAGTTATTACATGGAGGTCGCAAGCTCTGCAAAATGCGCATACCTTCTCGTGCAACGCCTGGCCTGTTTGGCCGTCAAGGACACTCGCCCCCACCGACCGATCTAAAAAGCTACAGCAGCGCCGCCGCTGCCGCCATGATCTGTTGCTACACTCCGCAGCTGGTGATGCTCCCACCTCCCCCTTCTAGCCACCATAGTTCAATACTACGTACGCATTGTATATGGTGTGCCGCTAGATAAGCCCATGCACGTTAGAGAAGTTTTAAACGCGCTTCTGCGCATTTGGTCACCCACCCTTAATGTATATGTGCTCCTATAAAAAAAAGGGAATACCTTAGTGATATATAGCTTTATTGTATAATACTGAGTCATGTATTCTCGCCATTTTCTGCCCTTTTCCAGTATATCTACCAGAAGAGATCAAACGCCTACTACCACCAGCGACGAAATAAATGGTTCAATAATAAAGAGCATTGAAGTGAAGATATTGCTTGCACTTTTTTAAACACTGTAGAACCGTTCAGCAACGCATCCCACCAACCCAGCTATATACAATGTTCCAGTTTATCATTCCAGCTCGCACAAGCACATACTTCTCCTGTAGGCACCTCAAATATGGGAACTACGGTGCGTAAGCTCTAAGAAACGTGGGCAATCAAATGCGAGAAGGACGTCGCCAAACCAACCACATGACTGCCAAGAGTGGATTCAGGTAGGGGCTAAGCTATTCTACTTGACGGCCGTCGTAGCACAAGATGACACCTAGGAGAAATTTTCTTTCAATGTCTTGGTGCTGAAAGACAATCATTTTTAACGCCGTCCCCTGCTTAGCGGTAAAAGTAGTCCTCTGCGCCACATCACAATGCACGGTTGTGTGTCTGCGCTGCAAATCGATTATTCGCAATTTCTGCGACATGTGTGCCCCCTTGTGGGGATGAGGACACTGGCGAGTAATGGGTGTGCATAGCATGAAACTATTCCCAGGTGCGTTTTTTGTTTGCTATCTTCATGTAACTGGTTTGTTACACGCATATTTACCACCTCGCACAAAGTGCGCTCTAATGTCTCCCTTCCCCATTATTTTTTTTACTCTCCAGGTAGGCTTGAGCGTGCAAACGCGAACAGTGCATGTTATTCCTAGACTAAGACGACCGCCAGCGATAAGTATCAAGTGCTCGATTCCACATGTACAAATTCCGACACATTTCACCATAGATCCAATCACTCCACTGCCATTTACAATACGGGCGTGCTATTGGTGTACAGCACAAACGTATTGCATTTTGATTTTAAATACAAATGCATCGCTTATTCGGGCTATGTCAGGCATCCACGGAATCCGTCCACCGCCCTCTCCCAAAGCAACAGCTGTGGGCGCGCGCGTCCCTAGTACCTGGAGGCCCCACCATGTCACGCTTAGGCGTCGGCAGCTGTCATCAACAGCTGCAGGCACGCGCGCCTATTTATCCGTGCAACTAGATACTAGAGCTGAAACGCATACCGCGTTTCTTGTGACAGGAAAATGCCCCGTGCAGCGAACGACGTATTGGCTGTAAGGTGTAAGAAAAAAAAGAAAACATTATTCTTCTAACGCTGGGTTCTCACGTGCGAAACATGTTATGAACGCTACACAATGCATTCGCATTTCCTTACAATTCCCTTCGTGAAGGTGGGGGCAATTGTTTAGGGGCGAAGCTTCTTATAGCGGCACCCATTCGTCCCTCGCTGTCGTAGTGGTAGTCGTAGTGTGTAATCAGTATAACATTTTGACCTCCAAGGTAGTGCCGGTGAGAGATTTCTTCTGTGCGTTGTTGAACAATAAACAATAGCTCTCAATGTACATGCCAATGGCTGCTTAGAGGGAATGAGAGAGAGGAGAATTCGACTTTTAGTTTGCGCGCACGCTGCGAATTTTTTATTGTTCAACATCGCACTGAAGACAAGTACAGGTTGCTACGTTATTATCGCTGGGCGTAACCTCCTAGGTTTTGCCATGAATACAGTGAAATAGTATATACCATGAACTCGATGTGGTTAAAGGTAGGAAGTAGACACGAAGCGCAAGACGTAAGGAAGTTTGCGTGCGCCTCCTCTCGTTCAGTCCTTGGAATGTCCGCTGGACGGTGGTGCTTCTATATGAGGAATATATGATGAAAATATGCGAGATGGTGGTACTTGGACTATTGAATAGGTGGACGAATGGACACACAAACAGATGCATGGACGGACCCACAGATGGCTGCACGGACAGATGGACGCATGGACAGACGCAGGAGCGAATGCATGGACGAAAGCAGGAACGGACGCAAAGATGAACGTGCGGACGCACGAACAGACGCACGGGCGGCCACAGAGACGCACGCATGGATGGACGGAAGCAAGAATGAATGGACGAACGGAGGCTTCGCCCCACTATCCATCATTCACTCCGTGGATATGCTGCCACTTTTTTTTTTCATTTTTGGGCACTAGTTCACCCAAATAAACAGTCGCGTATTTGCCGGTCCTTCTGCAGCAATATTCGGAGTCGTAACCATGGGGCAATATGCTTTCCTGTTTTTTGTTTGCTTGTGTTCCACTTCGTTTGAATCAGCTTCGCCAAATACGTAGATGCGAGCGAGCAATTTTTGCAGAATACTCTTATCAGGTGCTGAACGATGTTGCCGAATACTCAAAAAATTCTTATACATGTATTAGCATCTGTAACTCACCTGTTGCTATGCTTCAACGTGTGCGAAGAACTGATGAACGCTTCAGCCAAACCGACTTGCAGATCAACAGAGCAAGAGCGAAACATAAGGCATCAGTCAAACGTTTCGTCTTGAGCTTCAGCTAATCTGCTTCGGAGGCAAAATGCTATAAACCCTGCCACGGTCGCATGTGAAAGAACTCCACGTGTTCTTATTTTTCGGCGTTCTCTATTTCAGTGTGCGTGGTAACAAAGACGCAGTTGTGACATGATGATGATGATGTTTGATGTTTTGGTTTTGTTTGGTTTTTTATGGTGCATAGGCAGCTTAGGCCATCATGCACCAAACACATGGTATGATTCTCTTAAAATGTTGCGATGCCTCGCCGAGTCCTTGCCTAGGAAAGGGCCTCGAGGATACCAACCAGGTTTGCAAACCTTTGATCGTCTTCTCAAAAGTGGTAAGGCATACGAGGTGTTGCTTTTCTGCTGTGTCATTTTGCATATGTGGCGGCAATGCATGTCTGGAAGAGAATGGAAAGGGACAAGCTTAATGCAATGATCAGGAGAGCTGTAAAGAATGCCCTTGGGCTCCCCAACTACACCCACACCAATCGTCTCCTGCAGTTGGGAATTCATAATACATTGGAGGAAATTGCGGAAGCACAAGAAAGAACACAGGTAATTAGGCTGTCTGGCTCAAAAGCGGGGAGGATGATTCTCGCAGAAATGGGTATTCCACCAGCTCAGATTGAGGCTCTGTACCAAGGGTTGACGAGGGATCAGAAGGAAAACATCATTGTCTCGCCTGCCCCGCGGAACATGCATCCCCAACGTAATGTTGGAAGGAGGAGAGCGCGCGCTCGGGCCCTTCTTCGCCAAGTTGCGGATCTTGACGGGGGGGCCTGTTTCGTGGACGCGGCGCAATATGATGGCCAGAGAGACCGATTCACGGTAGTGGCAATCAACCACAAAGGCATTACAATTAATGCGGCGTCGGTATGCGCCAGAACTGCCAATGCAGCTGAGCAGGTTGCCATCGCCTTGGCTCTTTTAGATCAGCGTAATGAACACATATTTAGCGATTCTAGAGCTGCCATTCGTGCCTTCAGTGTTGGAGCTGTGTGCAAAGAGGCCAAAAATATACTCGGTGATAAGTTGCTTACAACCCATACCATTACATGGTTCCCAGCTCATATGGGAAACATGGACGGAGGGATCATAAATCTCAATGAGTTGGCCCACTCCAGGGCGCGAGGGTTAGCTGTCCGCGGCCATGGAGGACCTTTGGGTCGAACTGGAGATTTCGTAAACAGGGATCCGCCAACTACATATAATGAAATAACCCAACATTTCGCTATGGATAGGAGAATCTTTCCACCTCCACATGCGAAGCTAAATAGAGCGCAGGCGCTTACATTGCGATTACTTCAAACAGAAACGTACCCTAACCCTGCCTTTCTTCACAAGCTTTATCCTGATGTTTATTTAACCAACTCGTGTACAAAATGTGGCGGTTTAGCCACCTTACACCACATGCTCTGGGAGTGCCCTTCGGTACGTGGCACCGATACAGCATCGTCCAGAAAGTGGGACTCCGCTCTCCGGAGTCCAGACATAACATCGCAACTTTGGGCTGTCCAGAGGGCCCACGATGCGGCGCTAGGGCTCGGCCTTACTGTCCCATCGTGGGAGCGGCCCGCCGTGTGCTAGGGCGCACGCCTTCGGACTTGTCAATAAAGTTTTTCCAAACCAAACCAAATACGAGGTGTTTCTTTGTTTTCAGACGATGCAGTGTATAAGTTTACAGTTTGGCTAAAAAGCCAGCTTCTTTTAGGAAGCTAGAAACTTTGAAGTTATCAACAAGTGCGTCTTCACATAAAAGCAGTGCAGGATTAATAGGCATATGTTCTCTGTAAAATACGATAAAATGTTTTTTTTCCGTAATTCCTCTAGCTTAGTGCATGACAGTAAAATATGATTTATTGATACCTCGCCTCTGCATTTCGGACACAGAGGTTTGTTCTCTTTTGCCAGTAAGTAATTGTTTGTGAGGTGTGTTTGTCCAATGCGTAAACGATATAAAACTACTTCTATGAACCGTTCTTGGTGGGAGCAGGAATTACATTCTTCTAAAGTGGGTGTCACTAGGTGGAGCTTGTTTTCTGTTTCTGAGTGTCATCTAGCTTGCCATTGATTTCTGAGTTTGTGTAGCACCGATTTTATGACATCTTTCTAGGGAATTCTTACTTTCTTTATTTCTTTATGTCGTGCTTTTGCTGCACATTCATCTGCCTCCTCGTTCCCACAGATCCCGACGTGGCTTGGTACCCAGGAAAGTTTGGTGTTACGTACCTGTTCTATAACTGTTATGTTGTGTAACATGTCGCCTATCATTGGTACACATGCAATTCTCGGATGAAGGGCTCTTAGTACACTTAATGAGTCTGCGTATGATATACTGTTCTCGATATTTTTATTTTTGGTTTTTTTCACCGCTATTGAGACAGCGTAGCATTCTGCAATAAATACAAATGTGCATTGCGGTAGCCGAACTTTATCTTCCCAATGATTGTGTATTAACGCAATAACAACATATCGTGTCGATCTGGAACCATCGAAGTAAAATGCTATGTGTCTCGCATATTTTGCCTGAAGTGCTGGAAATTCTTGTAGTAGATGCTCGGACAAGTGTTTTTTTTTAAATTGAGTCAGCGTGAAGTCGCATACATAGGGGAGGCAGTACCAAGGCGGGAGTGCATTGGGTTTCTGAGCAATCATCGAAAACGTGTCTTTTACATTTAATTATTGGCACATCTCTTCAAATCTTAGAGGTAGCGGCCTAATTGCTTGGGGTTTGTTAATAAATAGTGTTCTGGATGGGTACTGCGTTAATATAGGGTGACAAAGGTGGTTAGGCATTGATCGAATCTTTAGAACGTATGAACATGTGATCATGATTATTCTTTCTGCCAGTGGTGGTTCATTTGCTTCTCTATACAGACTTCTTATAGGTGACGTCCTAAATGCACCGGTCGCGAGGCGGAGACCTTGATTGTGCATGGGGTTCAGCTGTTTCAGGCTCAATTTTCTCGCTGATCCTTATACTATACTACTATAATCTATATAGGCAGGATCGTACAACAGAGCGTTAAATTTGTAGTACGTCCATTCTATCTGAAACCCAGCGTTTGCGTGACAGGATCTTCAGTATGTTGAGAGATTGGACTTCTTTTTTCTTCAACGCTTTTATGTGTGGAAGGAATGTATGCTTCTTATCAAATACTATACCCAAGAACTTGTGTTCTTTCTTTAGTGGCGATTCGGTATGATTTAGGTGTAAGGTAGGGTCTCTCTGTATGCCTCGTTTCAGAGAGAAGAGAATGGGCACGGTTTTTGTGCAGAAAAGCGAAAACCATTTCTGTTTGCCCATGTTGTTAGTTTGTTAATCGCTAACTGCACTTGTCTTTCACATGCTGATGTGTTGCAGGATGTGCTAGCTATTTGGAGGTCGTCGACGTAGTGTGAGTACGCGATGGACTCGGGTATTTCTTTGCTGATCGAGTTCATTTTTATGACAAATAGTGTTGTGCTTAGAATGCACTCTTGTGCCACTCCAATTTCCTGAGTTGAACTTCTCGATAGTGTTAAAGCTGGGCGCACCTGGAATGAATCGTTAGATAGGAAGTCTTTGAGGCAATTCAACATCAGTCCGCGGATTCCTAGCTCAGTCAAGACCTGGAGGATTCCGAACCTTCAGGTGGTGTCGTATGACCTTTGTAAATAAAAAAAAAACGACGACCAGACAGTTTTGTTTGAGTACGAACGCTTCGCGGACGGTGTGTTCGAGTCGTACAAGGCGGTTGGTTGTGCAGCTGAATTTGTTAAAACCGTACTGATGAATATCGAGGAGTTAGAGTGATTCTAAGACTAACGACATCCTAATCATAACAACACTTTTGAAGGACTTTGCAAGACAGCTGGTGAGAGCTATCGGTATGTAGCTACTAGCATCGGTTGGTGGCTTTCCCGGTTTCAAAAATGGGATGATGACGGTCTTCTTCCAGGATTCAGGTAATTTTCCGGATATCCACACTTGGTTGAAGAATGTCAAAAGTATTTTTACGGCGCGTTCGCAGAGATGAGCTAATGTTTCATAGTGTATCTAGTCTGGTTGAGGTGCAGTTTGCCTAAGTGCAGTCAATACAGTGCATATTTCTTGATAAGTAATTAAGCTGTATGGTTCGTGTATGTTTCTTCTTGTTGGAAGCCTTTGTTTCTTGGCTGCGTGCTTGTTTTTCAGAACTGATTGAATACAATGTGACGAGCTCGAAACAGCACAGAAGAATTCACCTAGAATATTCGCCTATTTTTCAATGCTAGTCTGTAGGCCAGGAGGGGTCACCAATGGTATATTGAATGGAGAAAACTTGTACATCTTCTGGACCCGTTACCACATTTCTTTTGACGTGGTTGTGCTGTTCATGGAAGCGATGTACTTTTGCCACGATGCTTCTTCAGCGTTGGGACAGATGTATCTGGCCTTCACTCTAGCTTTTTTTTTTTTAAATTACAATGTTTTCCGGTGTTGGGTGCTCGTAAAAGTTCTCCAGGCCTTATTTTGCTTGTTTTTAGCTTCTATGCAGTCGTATCTGTACCATGTTTGGTGAATTTCTTTTGCGAGTCCAGATGTCTTAGGGATAGATAGCCAGGCAGCTGTCACGATGCAGTTTGTAATACAATCGTTCAGTTCATCTATGCTGAGGCCTTCTGTCGCTAGTTTTTCCAGGCAAGCTTTCTTTCTTGGAAGAGGGCTCAGTTGGCTAAATGTAGCTTCTAATGTCATGGGTTTTGTTGAATGACTTGAGTGACTTATATGTGGGATTTAACGGCCCAAAACCGCCATATGTTTATGAGAGACGCTGTAGTAGAGGGTTCCGGAAATTTTGACCACATGGGGTTCTTTAACGTGCTCCCAAATCTGAGCACATGGGCCTACAGCATTTTCACCTCCATGGGAATTGCAGCCGCCGCAGCCTGGATTCAATCCCGCGACATACGGGTCAGCAGCGGAGTACCTTCGCCACTAGACCACCACAGCTGGGTGTTGATTGACTTGAGGGAATATTGTTTGACTGACTAGTATCGGCAAATGATCGGTTCCGTAAGGGTAATTTAGAACATCCCACTTAAAATCCATAAAAACAGAAGGTGAACAAAACGATAAGTATATGCAGCTTCTTTTTCTTAAGATAAGGGAGCATTAAGTTGGTTTTCCTTTATTAAGTAGGCATACGGTATTGCTCAATAAAAAATATTCAATGATTCGGCC